CCCCCAACCCACCCATTTTGGGTAGGTGGGTAACTAAGACACAGGGAAAGGAGGGATTCTGCCCTAGTGAACTTGTGGGAAGGGGTTGGTGAGGGATGGGGAGGGGTGGGGAGAAGCCAGTACCTGCTCTGGGGATGGCGATACCATGCCCCCAGGGACCTTTCCCCCTTCACCAACTTTAATCTTGTATTTCCTTTTCCAAAAAGCCAAGCAGAAGCAAAAGCAGGTGAGTCAAGGAAGGGACCTGGGCTGGGGGACTCATGGCCTATGGCTCTGGGGACAGTGGTCTACGCGGTCATTGTTGGAGGGCAGAACAGAGAGGGGAGGGAGCCCAGAACCTCTGGATCTGCCCCGACATCAACCAGGCATGAGGCAGGCACCAGGGCCATGGTTTCTACTCACCTCTTGTCCGTTCTACAGGCAGAACATGTTCCCCCATACGACGTGGTGCCCTCCATGCGGCCTGTGGTGCTGGTGGGACCCTCTCTAAAAGGTTATGAGGTGAGAGGTCCTTGACCCCAAAGAGTCACCTCTACCAAGCCTGCCACAGGAAGACCCTAGGGAAAGTGGAAGGGGTGTGTGTCTTCCCTCCAGGGTCTGCGTGTGGAGGGCATAGACTCTGGGGCCCTGCATGGAGATGCTGCCTCCCTCCAAAAGGGCCCTTTATCAGTGCCGTGTCCTCCCCCCAGGTCACAGACATGATGCAGAAGGCTCTCTTCGATTTCCTCAAACATAGATTTGATGGCAGGTAAGCCACACACTGGCTTGGGGTGGCCTACTTCCAGATGCCTGTAGCAAGTCTTCTCTGAGAGGAGAGTTAGTGGGAGCTGGGTAAGGAGAGGCTGAGGCTTCAGGTTTAGAAGCAAGCTGGGATTCTCCACCCCCACGCCAGGATCTCCATCACCCGAGTCACAGCCGACCTCTCCCTGGCAAAGCGATCTGTGCTCAATAATCCTGGCAAGAGGACCATCATTGAGCGCTCCTCCGCCCGCTCCAGCATCGGTGAGAAGTCCCCACCGCCTGCTTCTGTGCCCACTCAAGCACCAGTGAGAACCTTCCTCCTTTTTTTCTTTTTCTTTCTTTTTTTTTGAGATGGAGTCTTGCTCTGTTGCCCAGGCCAGAGTGCAATGGTGAGATCTTAGCTCACTGTGACCTCTACCTCCTGAGTTCAAGCAATCCTCCCCACCCAGCTGGGACTACAGGCACCCACCACCACACCCGGCCAATTTTTGTATTTTTAGTAGAGACAGGGTTTCACCATATTGGCCAGGCTGGTCTCAAACTCCTGACCTCAAGTGATCAGCCTACCTTGGTCTCCCAAAGTGCTGGGATTACAGGCGTGAGCCACCGTGCCCGGCTCCTCTTCCCTTTTCTCTTCCTTACCTCCTTGTCTTTCTGCCCAACTTTTCTCCCTGACCCCAGGATAGGCAGGAACACACCCCTCCTCCTCAATTCCCCTTCCTCTGCCTGTCCAGGCTTTGATGAGTGCCCTTTTTCTCCAACTCCTTCCTGTCCACCATTTGGGAGCCCTCAAAGCCTGCTGGAGTGAGCAGTGGGCAGAGCTCCCGGTGAGCACTGCTGCTGCCTCCCTCCATAGCGGAAGTGCAGAGTGAGATCGAGCGCATATTTGAGCTGGCCAAATCCCTGCAGCTAGTAGTGTTGGACGCTGACACCATCAACCACCCAGCACAGCTGGCCAAGACCTCGCTGGCCCCAATCATCGTCTTTGTCAAGGTGTCCTCACCAAAGGTAAGTCAGCTGGGGTCATGGAGGAGGCCCACAGGGCTGCCCCGCTAGAATGTGGCATGACTCTACTTGGTCCGTGCCTGGGGCACCTGAGTTCCCTTTTCCTGCTGCCCTTAACACAACTCTGAGTCATCCTCACCTGCTACTGATGCCACAAGTGGAGAAAGTGCCTCGCTCTGCCCAGGCTCAGCTCTGCCAGAGTCCCCAGAGACTCCAGGCCTAGCTCTACCCTCCCCGCTCAGGTACTCCAGCGTCTCATCCGCTCCCGGGGGAAGTCACAGATGAAGCACCTGACCGTACAGATGATGGCATATGATAAGCTGGTTCAGTGCCCACCAGTGAGTGCCTGGGTCAGCTGCTCCTGTGCCCACTCCTCCAGGGCTGCGGCCGTGATAGAGATGGGTGGGGGGGCTGCTGCTGAGGGGAAACCAGCGTTGTGCCTTCCTCCCCCTCCCCAGGAGTCATTTGATGTGATTCTGGATGAGAACCAACTGGAGGATGCCTGTGAGCACCTGGCCGAGTACCTAGAGGTTTACTGGCGGGCCACGCACCACCCAGCCCCTGGCCCCGGACTTCTGGGTCCTCCCAGCGCCATCCCTGGACTTCAGGTAACCATTTCCAGTGGGCGGAGATGCTCAAGCTAAGCCAGCCAAAGCACTGCCCCTCCCTGCCCAGAGGACTGTCCTTGGCCTCCAGTTCAGCATGCCAGAGGATTGTAGAACTCTCAGCTCTGCTGTACAGAGCTAGTGCAGATGGGCAAAGGAACTTCCTGAGGAGAGAAGGAATCAATCAATGAGATGGATAAATCAGAGATTACTTTCCTAGGGGTCAAGAGAAACACAATCTCCAAGTCCTTCTCCCAGGCTGCCTTGAAGGCAGAGCCTGAATTTTGCAGGAGTCAAAGCTCAGTTTTCTTTCTCTGAAGAGGAAAAATCCTCCCGCATGTTTCTCCCTTGCACTATTTCCTGTACTGGGGAATTGAGAATTGAGGGGGAAAGAATCTCCCACCCCACCAGAGGATAAGGTGAGGTCTGTAGTGCCTCACTCAGAGCTGTTGTGTGGCCCCCAGAACCAGCAGCTGCTAGGGGAGCGTGGCGAGGAGCACTCCCCCCTCGAGCGGGACAGCTTGATGCCCTCTGATGAGGCCAGCGAGAGCTCCCGCCAAGCCTGGACAGGATCCTCACAGCGTAGCTCCCGCCACCTGGAGGAGGACTATGCAGATGCCTACCAGGACCTGTACCAGCCTCACCGCCAACACACCTCGGGGCTGCCTAGTGCTAACGGGCATGACCCCCAAGACCGGCTTCTAGCCCAGGACTCGGAGCACAACCACAATGACCGGAACTGGCAGCGCAACCGGCCTTGGCCCAAGGATAGCTACTGACAGCCTCCTGCTGCCCTACCCCAGCAGGCACAGGCACAGCTGGCTGGGGGACCCACTCCAGGCAGGGTGGCATTAGACTGGCATTAGGCTGGCACTAGGCTCAGCCTCCAAAACCCCCTGCCCAGCCCCAGCTTCAGGGCTGCCTGTGGCCCCAAGGTTCTGGGAAAGCAGGGGCCCCCCTTACCTCCTGGGCAGTGACCCTCACTAGGCTCCCATTCCAGGTACTAGCTGTGTGTTCTGCACCCCTGGCACCTTCTTCTCCTCCCACATAGGGAGCTGCCCCACTGGGCAGTACCCTCAGGCCAGGATCCCCTTAGCAGGGGCCTTCCCACCAGACTCAGGGAAGGGATGCCCCATCAAAGTGACGAGGGTGGGGTGTGGGCACCATGGCATGAGGAAGAAACAGTGTCCCGGAGCAGGCACAAGTCCTGACAGTCAAGGGACTCAGGGGCTGTGCTTTGGCATCTGAGGGCCTCCAGTCACCTCACTGCCACACATTAGAAATGAGACAATCAAAGCCCCCAGGGTGGCATGCCCATCCATCTGCTGGGGTGGGGCATCCACATCCAAGACTGGAGCAGCAGGCTGGCCAGGCTCGGGCCAGAGAGAGCTGACAGCTGAAGCTCTTGGAGGAAAGGGCTCTCCTCACCCAGGAAGCATCTTAACATGTGACAGGACCAGGGACCAGGAGCATGGTGAAGCCAAGTGGCAGACGGGAGCCCACCTGGATGGATGTTTGGGGAAGGAGGGCGCGTGTAGCAGAGAACTTATGAAACAGCTTCGGGGGCCTCCTTGCCTTTCTCATTCTTTTGCCCTGCATCCTGTCATTTCTGTTCTTGTCCCTCATACATCCTGGGAGAACCGAGCTCCAGACTTTGTTCCCTGACTCCTAGCTGCCGCTTGTTAGGTTAGGGTTAGATGGGGAGAGACGGGGCACAGAGGACCTGTGTCCCCGGCCACTCTCGCCTATGGCTCTAGTGTGTGACCTACAGAGCATGCTCCACAAGCCCATGCCTCACCTCACTGCCATCACTAATAAACACCATGCACAGATTCTGTTGTCTGCGGTGCACGTGGCCGGGTTCCTTACCAAATAGCCCAAGTCTGGAGGAGGGAAAGAAGTGTTCGGGCCACCCTTCTCTGAGATCCGTTGAGCAGGAAGGGATAAGGGCAGAGCTGGGGGAGGCACTCCACTCTCAAGCATCCCTACTCCACATACCCAGCTGTCAAGAGGGAGATATCTGGTAGCATGGAAGGAACTTGTCCTGGGAGGTGGTAAGAAGAGGCTTGGTCATGGCTTTACAGTATCCTTGCCCCAGGCCAAAAAGGACCTAGAAGCAGCTGCAACTTGAACTCCATGTACTGGGCCAACTCTTTTCTGTGGGTAAGGAAGAGCATGTGAACAAGAAAGGTATGGGGGGAGGACAGCGGCCCTGTGTTCCTCTTACCACAGCCTGACAGCTGGGCCCACTTGTTCTGCACCATCCCTTCCCAAGAGCAACAGATCCAACTAGGGAGTCACAAGCAAAGATCTTGAGACCGGGCATTGGGCATACAGCGGCAGAGTGGTTCCAATGGCCTCACCTGCCAAAATTTCACAACTGCTCTCCTTTCTCACCTTTGCCTAAAGCTCCCTAGAGGTGTCCAGCCAGGACCACACATTACACAAGGCTAGAGCAGGGGAGAAAGAGGCATTACAGTCCTGCTGCCATGGCTTTTGCATTGCCCCTTGTCCACCTATTGACTTAAGACTGTCAGCAGAGACTCTCTGCTCTGCTCTTAATGTGGCTGTCTCCCATTTCCCAAGCCAACCCACCCCACCCAATGGTGTCCCTCCTGCCAGGGAAATCAGTTTAGCTGGAACTAGACAAAGCCTTAATATTCATGTATTTATTCTCAGAACATACAAACTTATCTTCTCAGAGAATAGAAAACAGAGATTTCACTCAGTGACAAAGCTGGACACAGCCAGTTCACCCTGTCCCCCATCTACTTAGAAAATACCCTGGGGGGGGATGCCCAGAGCACATAGCACCCCTTGGTGCATGGCTGTGCACAGGTCTAAAGGCTCTCAACTTGCTTTACAATCCAAATGGGAAAATAGCTGTCCAGATGACAGTAAGATTCCACTGTCCATAATCCTCATGGTGCCAGGTCTCCTGGGGCATCTAGGGCAACAATGCTGCCACAGTTTATATCGTTACACAGTCAAGTCTGTGCCAAAGGAGGTCGCTCAGGCAGCCAGGATTCTGTTCAGTCTGGGGAGCAATGCCGGCTGGCTGCCCCCATATCCTGGCATGAGGTGATGGCCCACTGCAATCCCAAAGCAAAGAAGGGCAGAGGTGGGCCAAAAAGCTGCAGTAATTTGTTCTCCCTACCTCCGACAGCGTCATCCTCTCCTTTTGCAGCCCCACACGCAGGCCTCCTGACCTGAGGGTCTGGGCTAGGAAATCTGATTGTTTTCTTAAGCCCCCATAACCCAAGCGTGAGGACCTGGGAAGAGGGATGTGAGGGTTCTGAAGAGGCAAGAGGCAGCTTCGGAGATGCCCTCAGCCCACGGGAAGAGTGCTGTGTCAGGCAAATATGGTCTCTTCACGGCGCTTCTTGGTGAGGATGGTGCCTGGCTTATGCTGGGCATCTGGATGGTTGGCTAGCTCAGGGGGACAGGAAGACACTGGGCTTTCCAGGATGGCTTGCTTCAACTCGTAGAACACAGCAGAGTCCTCTTTTGTGAGGAAGGTGATGGCCACCCCACTCTTGCCTGCTCGTCCCGTGCGGCCAATGCGGTGGATGTAATCTGGGGAATGGGAAGAATGTCACTCAGCACAGTCCAGATGCCCTGGGGAGCGGTGTCTGATGCCTCCACTTCTAGAGGCATCCTTCCCACCCCATCTCCAAGGGCAGGAATACAGCACATGCTGCCTGAACCTGAGGCGCACACAGTGCCCTCTCCAGATGTCCATCTCCCCCATCCTCCTCCTGACTGGTCCCTACCACACTAAGACCCTCAGCTGCCTAGCTTTTCTTCACACTCCTGAGGACACAAGTGTCATCCCACCTGCTGGGACAACAAACCCAAGTAAGATAAAGGACAGGAGCACTTCTCATGGAAACAAGCAATCCCAGACTTGGAGCTAAGAGGCAGCAACAGCCTTCCACGGACAGCACCCTGACTTCAAGTGGGACGCCATAAGGAATCTGACTTCACCCCAGGTTGAAGCTGCTTTCCCTGGAACTTACCTTCAATATTTTTGGCCATATCATAGTTGACAACCATAGACACATCTTGGATATCAATACCACGACCAGCCACATCTGTAGCCACCAAAATATCCTTGGCCCCAGCCTTGAGGTTGGACAATGCAAATTCTCGCTGCTCCTGGCCTTTTCCACCATGCAGTGTGCAAGCATTGTACTGTTGGAAGAATGGTGAGGTGAAGAGTGAGCAACAGAATCAAGGAGACACACAGTTCAGAGGAATGGGACAGGCAGGGAGGGAGGGTTGGAGAGGGTAGGAAAAAGGGAAGGAGCCAAGAGAAAGAATGACTGCAGTGAAAGGAAGGAGAGAAGTGAACTGAAGGGAGGGACGAGAGAAAAAGAGGTGTGGTATGACAGGGACACACAGAGCAAGGGCAAAGGCAAAGCAGCTGGGAGAGTGGTAGAGCCAGACACATGAGAAGTCCTCAAAGAGAATTAGGGGCAAGATCAGGGTGGAAAGCAGGGATCAAGAAGTTTAAGGAAGTCGAGTAGCAGGGGCACACCCTTCCCCTCAAGCACCAGTATCAGGAGTAAAGGACATTGATTACCAGCTCCCTTCTGACCCTATCATCTCCTCTGCCCAATATACCTAATCAGTTTTCACCTACTCTTTTCTACATCCTCACTCTGCCAGGATATGAGTCCCACACCTTTCCCTGGCTCTACCTCACCAGGATGAAGGGCCAAGGCAGCGTTGGCTGGCATCACTGCAGCAGACAGGGAATCCCAGCAATTACTCCATTCTCCTTATTCCCTCAAACCACCCTTTCCCCCTGGTCCTGACTTGTTGATTACTGGAAGATTAAAGAAAGGGTGAGAATGAAAAGGAAGCACCTAGGGGTCCCTGCTAGTTTCAGAAAGCAAAGCCACAGAGGCCAGACTTTGTTCTCCCCTGCCAGACACACCCCCATCTTCTCCAGGGATTTGGCCAACACGTCGCAGCCCTTCTTCTGGTTGACAAAAATAATGATGGGTGGGTCAAAGCCTTGCTCCAAGATTGCCAGCAGCTTTTTCCTGGAGAGAAGAGGAGAAAAATGATTTGCATAATACCTCCCACTCCAAGTGAAATGCCCAACCCTGATCTATGAACACTACTTTCAGGGTCTTCAATGCCCATGACATTCTGCCCAGAAAACAGCAGCTCTTCAACAGGGCAGAGAAGTGCCCTGCCCTGCGCTTGCTCCGAAAGAAGTTCTCAGAGCCATTTCTTCCTCCACCCTGTTTCCCTTGGCTCAGCTGCCCTCATACCTCTTTTCTGACTCTGACATGAGGAAGACCTTCTGTTCCACACGCTCATGGGGCTTGCCTGCGGAACCAATGTACACCACAGCAGGTCGTCGAAGATAGCTCCTGGCCAGACGCTCCACCGCTGGGGGCATGGTAGCCGTGAACATTACTGTCTATGAGAACAGGAGGCTCAGCCTTGCACCCAGGCAGGCATAATCATATATCCCACTGTCACCGAAGACTAAAGAATCTAAAATGTGCCGCAGTATAAGCTTTGACAGCCAACACATTAGAAAACAGTGTCTTCTGCCTTCCCATCTTTCTCTAGTACCTGTTCATCAAGGCACTTTGCATCTTATGATGGCAGGAAGGACTGAGAGCATTTGCTAGCACCTGTGGTCCCAGTAGCAGCATGAGTCTTTGAAATAGTTTTTCCAGTGCTAAGCTAAATACCCCCCCACGCCAAAGATTGTCAGAGGACTGTACCTAGGCATACTTCATTCTAGAAACATGTACTCTGAGCCCACCTAAGGCAAGAAAGGCCCAACAGAAGGCTGGCAAATTTGTACAACTATTTTTCTTTTTTGTTTAGATGGAGTTTTGCTCGTTGCCCAGCTGAGTGCAATGGCGCGATCTCGGCTCACTGCAACCTCTGCCTCCTGGGTTCAAGCAATTCTCCTGCCTCAGCCTCCCCAGTAGGTGGGATTACAGGCATGTACCACCACACCTGGCTAATTCTGTATTTTTAGGAGAGACCAGGAGGGGGATTTCTCCATGTTGGTCAGGGTGGTCTCAAACTCCCAATTTCAGGTTATTGCCCTGCCTCGGCTTCCCAAAGTGCTAGGATTACAGGCGTGAGCCACTGTGCCCGGCTTTTTTTTTTTTTTTTTTTTTTTTTTTGAGACAGGGCCTTACTCTGTTGCCCAGGCTGCAGTGCAGTGGCATGATCTCAGCTTACAGCAACCTCTGCCTCCCAGGCTTAAGAGGTCCTCCCACCTCAGCCTCCTGAGTGGCTGGGACCACAGGCACACATCACCATGCCTGGCTGATTTCTGTAGAGATGGGGTTTCACCATGTTGCCCAGGCTGGTCTCAGACTCCTAAGCTCAAGTAATCCACCCAGCTTGGCCTGTCCAACTTTTCCCAGCTCAGGGAAGCAGCCTTACTTGGCGGTACTTATGTTTTCCTGACTCAAAGTTGGCCAGCATCTTCTCAGGGTCCTCAGCCTCATCCGTGTCTGGCTTCTGGTTGCTGACAGGCATGTGCTCCAGGATCTTCTGGACATCTGGCTCAAAGCCCATGTCAATCATCCTATCTGCCTCATCCAGAACCACATAGGTACAGCGGCTTAGCACCAGGTAGCGGTTCTCCAGCACATCAATCAAACGCCCAGGGGTAGCGATCACAATCTGTGGAGTGCAGTATAATTATTTATAGCCCAGCAGTTGCCCCTTCTTTTCTTTCCTGTAAACTATCCACCCACTTGGGTGACAGACCTCCAATGCTAAGGAACTTGAACCCCAACCTCTGGTTATGTTCAGCAATAAGGCTCCTGCAAACTGGCATGAAATCACTTGTTGCTTGATTTTCTCAGGGATGAATGAGGTCTCTGAGTATAAGGTACAGGGATTAGACAAAGGAGGCAAAATCAGTAGGAACTTTTTTTTTTTATAGCAAATCATTTCAGATCCTCAAGAAGGAATTTTTTAGATGGGAGAGACTAAGGGATACTGTGAAGGGGGTTGCATAAAGGGATTACACTGAGACGTCTGCAGAAAGACTAAATCTCTGCAGCAGACTTCTCATAAAAAGTTCTCCTCCACTTTCCTGAGTTGAAGGCAATGCACAAAGTCAAAGCTTTAGTCTGGCAGAGTAAAGAGTAACTAAAAGCAGAGGCTATGAATATGAATCTCAGCTCTGCCCACTGCCAGTTGTTTGTGACTTCAGGCAGTTATTAACCTGAACCTCAGCTTGATCTATAACAAGGAAATACCACTACCTACTCTCATACATTATTGTGAGAATTAATGAGTTGATATATATGATGTACTGTTTGGGATATAAACCCTGGTGTGGCAGGGCGCCACAGCTCGCGCCTGTAATCCCAGCAGTTTAGGAGGCCAAGGCAGGTGGATCACAAAGTCACAAGTTCAAGACCAGCCTGGCCAAGATAGTGAAACCATGTCTCTGCTGAAAATACAAAAAAAAAAAAAAAAAAATTAGCCAGGCTTGGTGGTGGATGCCTATAATCCCAGCTACTTGGGAGGCTGAGGCAGAGAATTGCTTGAACCCAGGAGGCAGAGGTTGCAGTGAGCTGAGATCATTCATGCCACTGCACTCCAGCCTGGGTGACAGAGCAAGACTGTCTCCAAAAAAAAAAAAAAAAAAACCCTGGTGCATAAGTTCTCAATAAATAGCACATACATATAAACCAACTCCTTTCTTCATTCTACTGCACATCTATTCCAGAAACTAGAAACAAAGCCCCAAGATAGCCTTCCCAGACAGTAGGCTGTCTTCTAGACACTAGACAGAAAAACAAACCTCACAACCCATGCGCAGCCTGAAGCCCTGGTCTTCTCTGGAGATGCCACCAATGACAGCCACAGTGCGGATGCCTAGCGGCTTCCCAAATTTAATGGTCTCTTCCTCAATCTGTTGAGCCAACTCACGGGTGGGAGCCAGGATGATGGCATAAGGGCCTTGGTCTGACTCTTCGATCCTGTGGTAAATGGGGTGTCCCACAGTTTCGTGAGCTTTGGTTCTTATCCAACCACAAACCAGAACAAGACAAAGTCACTCTTACAGGGAGTGATGGAAATGGGGAGGGTGATAAGAAAAGAATGCAATGATCTCACTTAAAAGTCAGAGGCTGGGGCTGGGCAAAGTGGTTCATGCCTGTAATCCCAGCACTTTGATAGGCCAAGGTGGGCAGATCACTTGAGGTCAGGAGTTTGAGACCAGTCTGGCCAACACGGTGAAACCGTGTCTCTACTAAAAATAGAAAAATCAGCTAGGCATGGTGGCCGGCACCTGTAATACCAGCTACTTGGGAGCCTAGGCAGGAGAAGCACTTGAAGGCGGAGGTGGAGGCTGCGGTGAGCCAAGATCCCACCACTGCACTCTAGCCTGGGTGACAAAACGAGACTCCATCTCAAAAAATAAATAAATAAAATAAAATAAATTTAAAAATAAAACCAGAGACTCCAGAATAGCAAAGTTCTCCAGGTCTTTGCCAGCAAAATATAAAATAAAACAAAATAAAATAAGTAAATAAAAATCAGAGACTCCAGGATAGCAAAGTTCTCCAGGTCTTTGCCAGCAACATACACTTCCATGATATCATGATCCAATTATTCCCTAATATTCAACCCAGAATAAAGAAGCAAGCTTCTGATTATAGGTGTAAAACAAAATCCAAACATTCATTTGTCACTTTCATCTTTCCTACCCAGACAAACCCACTCCAGCTGATGCCAGCTGACCCCACCTGTCAATTTTGGGAAGTGTGGTGATCCAGACCAGCAGTGGGATGAGGAAGGCTGCTGTCTTGCCGCTGCCAGTCTCAGCCACACCAATGATGTCACGATTCTGTAGCCCAATGGGAATTGCCTGACGCTGGATAGGTGTTGGTTCCTGCAGTGACCCCAAGAAAGAGTAATAGGTACAGGCAGAATTATACAACCTGGGCTACCACTGATAGTAGAAAGCATATCTGCTAGCACAATGGAAGGATGCCAAGTACAGTCCACAGAAATGGGCACCCCAAGAAGAAACATAATCACTAAAAGCCAATACTTCTACCAGAAAGTGACAGAAAAGGTTGATGCCCCCTAGCAGCAATGGTCCCAAATAGTCAAGGAATAAAGTTCTCTATTCCCAAACTAGTGTAGGAACATGTCAAATCTCTTGGGCCAGTCTGCCCCTCCTTACCTTATAGCCACACTTATCAATGACCTCCAAAATGTGTGGGGGAAGAGAAGAGTCTTTCCAAGACCGGATGGGATTGGGGATCTTGCCGCCTTTGGTGGTGATGCTGTAGTCCTCACGGAAGATCCGCCAGTCCCTGTCCGTCATCTCATCTAACTTTTTCTGAGACCAATGACGATCATCCCAGCGCTGCTTGGCTTCCTTCTTACGAAGTTTTCGGAGTCTTGCCCTGAAGCAGGATGTGAGGAGTAAGTAGGATCAGTGCCCTCCAACTCCTTTCTGTAGAGACTGGGCTCTGTCCAGCCACCCTAGCCTTGATCACTCACTCCTCCTGCTCCTTTTCTTCCAGGGTTCGTCTCTTCTCCATTAGGTCTCCATAGAAACGTGACTGCTCTCGTTTCTGCTGCTTGAGGTCAATGCCTGCAATGAAGCCTCGCCCCAGTAACTGCACCTGGTGCCGTTCTTTGTACCTGGGATTTAGACAAACGAAGAGAAAAGAGAAGGAGCTGTTACGGCAGTAGGAGGGAAGGACAGACTGCCAATATGAAACAGTTCTTCCTGGACAGGGTCTTCTTTCCACCAGAGGGTTGGCTGACTACCAGTCTACCAATTTTCCACCCCAGCTTATCTTACTTTCTCCACCTCTGTAGTCATCAGCTCTTTAGGACTGCCTAGTGGAAAAGACCTAGAACTCAGGCCTGAAGCCACTCACAGGGGATTGTAGTCAATGGATGTGTCTTCGGATGCATCCCACTCAAAAACAAACTTTCGGTCATTGAGATGTCTCGTTCGGCGCCGCTTTTTGATGCCACCCAGGTAACGCTCCTGCCCAGGGAAAGAATACAAAGCACATAAGCCTTGAGGCTGAGGTCTCACATGCAGAGATCACAATGGCCAAATAACTAAACCTCATTTTTGTGTGTGGGAGAGAAGTGAAGATGGAGCCAAGGCCTGCACCTTAATGGCATGCAGTTCCTTGCTCTTATCCTTCTCTTCCCGGATCTTCTGCCGCCCTTCCTCATCCTCATTTCCATTGGTCTCCCGCTCCATCCTCTCCCTGCGTTCCCGACGTTCCCGTTCCTGAGGATCTTCTGCAGACCAAAGAGAGCAAAGCTGCAGAAGAGCTCATGGAAGAAAAGAGGAGAGGGAATGGTGGGAATCCAGATGAGGAACACCAAATGAAGAAAAAAAGGGGTAGACTTATGATACAGGGTAAATGGAGATCTAGCAGAAAAACGTTTTCTCATCAACTCCCACCATCCTTCCCTTTTCCAAACTCCAGAGTGAACAGGTTTCTATCTCTCCTGAGAGACACTATCTCATCTCTTTCCTCTCCCATCTAGGGGCTACGCAGGGTAGAATAACGAACCCAACATCTTCCTGCCCAAGTCTTGGAACTGTTTCCTTTTCTTCCTCTCTTCTTCAAGCATCTTCTGCCGCTCCTCCACCTCCTGCTGCCGTCGCTTTAGGGCCTCAGCCTCTCGTTCTGCTTTGGAGAGGAACTTGGGCTACAAAACAGATTGGAACTGTAAACAAAGGATCTGGGAGCAGAGTATAACCATATCACTGATGGGGAGATGGCAGGCAACCCAAAAATATTTGCTCAGGCATTAAGCCTGTTGAGGAAAACACAAACAGGCCTTGGACCCTGTTACTGACTGAAATATGTCCCCTATGGAATTCATGTTTTTTTTTTAAGACTGGATGCAGTGGCACATGCCTATAATCCCAGTGCTTTGGGAGGCCCAGATGGGAGGACTGCTTGAGGCCAGGAGTTCAAGAGCAGCCTGGGCAACATAGCAAGACCTTGTTTCTACAAAAATAAACAAACTCAGCCAGATATGGTGGCATGTGCATGTAGTCCCAGCTACTTGGGAGGCTGAGGCAGGAAAATCATACGAGCGCAGGAGTTTGAGGTTATAGTGAGCTGTGACTGCACCACTGTACTCCAGCCTGGGCAAAACAGCAAGACCTTATCTCTTTAAAAAAAAAAAAATTCGCTCGGGCACGGCGGCTCAAGCCTGTAATCCCAGCACTTTGGGAGGCCGGTGCGGGTGGATCATGAGGTCAAGAGATCGAGACCATCCTGGTCAACACGGTGAAACCCCGTCTCTACTAAAAATATAAAAAATTAGCTGGGCATGGTGGCACGTGCCTGTAATCCCAGCTACTCAGGAGGCTGAGGCAGGAGAATTGCCTGAACCCAGGAGGCGGAGGTTGCGGTGAGCCGAGATCACGCCATTGCACTCCAGCCTGGGTAACAAGAGCAAAACTCCGTCCCAAAAAAAAAAAAAAAAAAAATCATGTGTTATATGTATTTTTTGAGACAGTCTCTTGCTCTATTGCCCAAGTTGCAGTACAGTGGTGTTATCAAGGCTCACTGCAGCCTCAGCCTCCTGAGTAGCTGGGACTACACACGCATGATACCACAGCTGGCTAATTTTTTATATTTTACAGAGATGGGTTTTCACCATGTTGCCCACACTGGTCTCAAAATCCCTGACTCAAGTGATCCTCCCATCTTGGACTTCCAAAGTTATTGGGATTACAGGTGTGAGCCACTGTACCCAGTTCAAAATTCATATGTGGAAGCCCTAACCCCCAGTACCTCACAATGTGACTATATGTGGAGACAGGGCATGTAAAGAGGTGATTAAGTTAAAATGGGCCCATTAAGCTGGGCACAGTGGCTCACACCTGTAATCCCAGTACTTTGGGAGGCCAAGGAAGGCAGGTCACTTGAGCCCAGAGGTTTGAGACCATGCTGGGCAACACGGTGAAATCCTGACTCTACAAAAAAATACAAAAATTAGCTGGGCTTTGTGGCACGCACCTGTAGTCCCAGATACTCTGGAGGCTGAGGTGGGAAGATTGCTTCAGCCCGGGAGGTGGAGGTTGAAGTGAGCCAGTATCATGCCACTGCACTCCATCCTGGGCGACAGAGTGAGACTCTGTCTCAAAAAAAAGAAAAAAAAGAAAAAAAAAAAAAAAAAAGAGGCCTTTTTAGGGTGGGTCCTAATCCAATACAAGGGGTACAAATGTACAGAGGGAAGACCATGTGAAGAGTTGAGGAAGAAGACAGCCTTATAAGCTAAGGAGAGAGGCCTCAGAAGAAGCAACCCTACTGACACTCCACTCTCAGACTTCAGGCCTCCAGAACTGCGGCATTTTGTTATGGCAGCCTGAGCAGATGAAGACCCCCAAGTACTTACCTTAGCCTCAGCTTCTTCCTCAGCCTTTTTCTTGGCCAGAAGTTCCTCCAGGGATAATGGCTGGGCCTGAAGATAAAACACAGAACTTCAGTCTATAAAGACTCTCTTTAAAGATCAAAAAAAAACAATGCATAAGTTGAAGAAGATGAAAATAATCCTTCCTGTCCTTTACCTTAGGCTTCTTATCACCATGTTCATCCTCTTCATCCTTCTTAGAGTCTCTGTCCTTCCGAGATTTAAAGTCCTTTCCTCGGCCAGGAGATAAGCTTTAAAGAAAAGGAGCAAGAAAGGTCCACATCATTTTTACTTCAACGCCTGGATGAGGTTCAGGTTCAGCCCCAAAAAGAGAATGGAAGTTTCCCCATGACTCAACAAGACTGACCCACGGTCATCTATCATGTCTTGACGCTCTCTTAGCAGGCATGGCCATTCTGCCAGCTCAAACCTAATTACGGCCCGGGCTTGGTCCCTTTCGACCCAAATCTCCTTTTCTGAGACTAATCTCTTTTGGGAAGTGGGACTTTACTACTGATGTCAAAAATATTTCCTCAGCCGAGTGCAGTGGCTCATGCCTGTAATCCCAGCACTTTGGGAGGCTGAGGCTGGCAGATCACAAGGTCAGGAGATCAAGACCATCCTGGCCAACATGGTAAAACCCCGTCTCTACTAAAAATACAACAAAATTAGCTGGGCGTGGTGGCACATGCCTGTAGTCCCAGCTACTCGGGAGGCTGAGGCAGGAGAATTGCTTGAACCCAGGAGGCGGTGACTGCAGTGAGCTGAGATCGCACCACTGCACTATAGCCTGGGTGACAGTGCGAGACTCTGTCTCAAAAAAAAAAAATATTTAAAAAAATATTTCCTGTAGGCTGGGTGCAGTGGCTCCTGCCTGTAATCCCAGCACTTTGGGAGGCCAAGGTGGGTGGATCACCTGAGGTCAGGAGTTCAAGACCAGCCTGGCCAACATGGTGAAACCCTGTCTCTACTAAAAATACAAAAATTAGCTGGGCATGGCAGTACACATCTGTAGTCCCAGCTACTCGGGAGGCTAAGGCAGGAGAATTGCTTGAACCCAGGAGGCAGAGGTCACAGTGAGCTAAGATTGCGCCACTGCACTCCGGCCTGGGCAACATCATAAGACTGTGTCTCAAAAAAAAAAAAAATTTCCTCTAAACAGCAATTGCTTTTGAAAATTGAGATGGAGTTTTTGCTCTGATGCCCAGGCTGGAGTGCAATGGTGTTATCTCAGCTCACGGCAACCTCCACCTCCTGGGTTCAAGCAATTCTCCTGCCTCAGCCTCCCAAGTAGCTGGGACTACAGCAGCATATTGCCATACCTGGCTAATTTTTTTATTTTTAGTAGAGACAAGATTTCACTATGTTGGCCAGGCCAGTCTTGAACTCCTGACCTCAGGTTATATACATCGACCTCAGCCTCCCAAAGTGCTAGGATTACAGGCGTGAGCCACAGCCCCACCCTCTTTAACTCTTTAATACACAAAGAATTTAACCTACATGGCCACTACCACAAGCCAAGAAGATACTGCTATACATATTCCCTCATCATTTTTCATTCCTATCAGTCCCAACAATCCTTTCCCCATACCTGTTGTAACCTTAATCTACAAGAGAATTCAAACAAACCTATTAAGTTTCTGTTACGAACATTCTGTCCTCTGCCTTGAGTTCTAACCTACGCTTTCAGGGCTTGATAACTTTGTATTCAGGCAGGGCACTGTGGTTCAAACCTGCAATCCCAGCACTTTGAGAGGCCAAAGTGGCCGGATCACCTAAGGTCAGGAGTTTGAGACCAGCCTGGCCAACAGGTGAAACTCAGTCTCTCCTAAAAATACAAAAATTAGCTGGGCGTGGTGGTGCATGCCTGTAATCCCCACTACTTCGGCAGCGTAGGGAGGGGGACCTGAGGCGGCAGAATTGCTTGAACCTGGGAGGCGGAAGTTGCAGTGAGATCTCACCGTTGCACTCTGCCTGGGTGACAGAGTGAGACTCCACCTCAAAAAAATAGAAGAACTTTGTATACAAAGTTTCCAGAGGAGAATTATCAAGATGCTGGAGCATTAAGCGAGGCTAAGAAATATATGTTGTAGAAACTTTTTTTTGAGGCAAGGTTTCACTCTGTCACCCAGGCTGGAGTGCAGTGGCACTCCACCGGGAGGTGGAGTACAGTGAACCGAGACTGCACCACTGTGCTCCAGCCTGGTGACAGAGCAAGACTTCATCTCAAGGAAAAAAAAAAAAATTTAAAGGCTGGGTGCAGTGGCTGATGCCTGTAATTTCAGCACTTTGGGAGGCTGAGGCAGGCAGATCACCTGAGCTCAGGAGTTCGAAACCAGCCTGGGCAATATAACAAGACCCCATCTCTACTAAAAATAGAAAAATTAGCTGGGCATGGTAGTGCACACCTGTAGTCCCAGCTACTCAGGAGGCTGAGGCAGGAGAATTGCCTGAACCCAGGACGCGGAGGCTGCGGTGAGCCGAGATTGCGCCGAGCCGAGATTGCGCCATTGCACTCCAGCCTGGGTAACAAGAGTGAAACTCCGTCTCAAAAAAAAAAAAAAAATTTTTTTAGAGACAAAGTCTTGCTCTAGCACCCAGGCTAGAGTGCAGTGGCACAATCATAGGTCACTACAGCCTCAACCTCCTGGGCTCAAGTAATCCTTCCACATAGCTACACTATTATACTTTCTAAAGAAGACATGTGGCTTCTAAAAAAGACAGCTCTAGCTAGGTGTGGTAGTGCACACCTGTGGTCCCAGCTACTTGGGAGGCTGAGGCAGGGGTGCTGCCTGAGCCCAGGAGTTCAAGCCTGCAGTAAGCTATGACTGAGCTTCTGCACTCCAGCCTGGGTAACAGAATGAGACTCTATCTCTAAAAATAAAGGCTGGGCTTAGTGGCTCACACCTGTAATCCCAGCACTTTCAGAGGCCAAGATGGGCAGAATGCTTGAGTGCACAAGTTTGAGACCAGCCTGGGCAACATATTGAAACCCCATCTCTACAAAAGAAAAAAAGAAAAAAAAAAAGCAAAAACAGTCTGGGCGCAGTGGCTCACACCTGTAATGCCAGCACTTTGGAAGGCGGAGGTGGATGGATCACTTGAGGTCAGGAGTTCAAGACCAGCCTGGCCAACATGGTGAAACGCTGTCTCTGCTAAAAATACAAAAATTAGCCAGGTGTGGTGGCAGGTACCTGTAATCCAGCTACTCAGGAGGCTGAGGCAAGAGAACTGCCTGAACCCAAGAGGCAGAGGTTGCAGTGAGCTGAGATCATGCCACTGCACTCTAGCCTGGGCAACAGAGTGAGACTCCGTCTCAAAAACACAAGAACAACCCCAAAAAGCCAGAAAACAGAGCTGGGAATGGTGGCAGATGCCTGTAGTCCAGCTACTCAGGAGCTGAGGTGGGTAGATCACCTAAGCCTGGGGAAGTCAAGGCTGCAGTGAGTTGTGATCACACCACTGCACTCCAGGCTGGACAACAGAGTGAGATCCTGCCTCAAAAATAAATAAATAAAATAAAAATAAATAAGAAAGAGTGCTCTGTAACACCTACCAACAGAATCTGTTAAGAAGAAATGGGAGCATTCCTCTGAAGCCCACTCTCATTCCTTCATGTACCTGGATCGTTTACGGTCCTTGTCCCGTCTGTGCCCATCCTTGTCTCGATCTCGGTCCTTTTTATTCCGATCCCGCTCCTTATCTCGTTCTCGTTCTTTGTGCCGTCGTTCTCTGGAAGACCACAAATTTAAGAAATCACATGATATTTCCAAAGTATCTTGCTTCACTGCAGCCCCTAGAAGGTTCCTATACTCTCGTCCTAAAGTAATGTTTCATAAATTAGAGAATGTGTCTCCCACAGAAACAACGGGGGAATTCTAAGAAGGTTTTATACATCAGAGATGTACTGTTAAGTATTAACAGCAACGACAGGTCATGAACTATGTGAACAGATGAACCTTTCTTTTTTATTTTTTTGAGACAGAGTCTCGCTGTCGCCCAGGCTGGAGTGCAGTGGCATGATCTTGGCTCACTGCAACCTCCGCCTCCCAGATTCAGTCAATTCTCCTGTCTCAGCCTCCTGAGTAGCTGGGAATACAGATGTGCACACCACGCCCAGCTAATTTTTGTATTTTTAATAGAAACAGAGTTTCGCCATGTTGACCAGGCTGGTCTCAAACTCCTCACCTCAAACAATCCACCCACCTCAGCCTCCCAAAGTGCTGAGATTACAGGTATGAGCCACCACATCTGGCCGCAGATGAACCTTCCTTGATAACCTGGACCTTCATCTTACAAGTTCCTCTGAACTCTTAAAGAGTTGGGCAGGATGCGATGGCTCACGCCTGTAATCCCAGCACTTTGGGAAGCCAAGGTAGTTGGATCATGAGCTCAGGAAGGAGTTCAAGACCAGCCTGGACAACATGATGAAACCCCATCTCTTGGCCGGGCGCGGTGGCTCACGCTTGTAATCCCAGCACTTTGGGAGGCCGAGGCGGGTGGATCATGAGGTCAAGAGATCAAGACCATCCTGGTCAACGTGGTGAAACCCCGTCTCTACTAAAAATACAAAAATTAGCTGGGCATGGTGGCGCACGCCTGTAATCCCAGCTACTCGGGAGGCTGAGGCAGGAGAATTGCTTGAACCCAGGAGGCGGAGGTTGCAGTGAGCCGAGATCGCACCATTGCACTCCAGCCTGGGTAACAAGAGCGAAGCTCCGTCTCAAAAAAAAAAAAAAAAAAAAAAAAAAAAA